ATTTGAAGAACTTATTAGATGTACAATGATTAAATTATAGCAAAAGAAACTTACATAGTTAAAAGGGAACAGATAAAATTAAAACAACTACACTAGTTTAATGCGGCGGAAATAGCACCTGTAAACATTTTACGGGACTTTACAATGCACACAGACAGAATAACCAAAACTAATCGCCCAGACATCGTTTTTAGTGACCGAAAATAAAAAAAATGCCTCCTTATTGATATGGCAGACCCTGTAGACTGCATTGTATCTTTGAAGACCTTCAAAAAGCTATCAAAATGCAAGGACCTTGAAATAGAAATATCCAAAATGTAGAACATAAGCACATCAACAATTTCAGTTGTAGTTGGAGCCCTCGGATTGAATGGAAAAGATTCCAATAGAATCATTGAAGGGATTCCTGGAAGCCCATGCCTAAAAGAAATACAAAAGATTGTTCTCACAAGTACAGCCTACACCTTACGAAGGGTTTTATCTATGTAATATATGTGTTTTTGCTTTATTTTGTTTTGTTTTTTTTAATTGCTCAGTGCAAAATGTCATGATGCCATTTCTGTCCTTAGGTCTGTGGGCGGAACCCGGAAAGAAATGAGTACACACCAGAAATCAGAGGTAATAATAATAATAATAATAATAATAATAATAATAATAATAAAGATAATAATAAAAATGTTATTATTTATTTCCTTTTCGATATTAATTTAATTTAAGCATGTTCACTGTTTTCGCGGGTAAACAGCTTATATCGTAATGAAAAATGCCACAAACATAACAAACGTAAAGTTTTATCGTCAAAATGCTTATGTTATTATTAAGATGAAAGACCAAAGTATTTTTTAATTATTTTTTGAAATTGTTTAATCCTTTTCTAACACGTTCGAAATTTTGGTTAAATTCTTCTTTTGTTTACGTCATCGCGGCGTCACAGACAATAACAAAAATTTTTTTTGCGATTTTTTTCCGTTGAAAACATTGATTTGGAAATTCTTGTAAAAATCAAGTAATTGTCCGATTTTAATGAAATTTTGAGGACTTATTCACAAATGAATGAAATTATTTTTGAAATATTTTTTTTTAGAAAATTTTGGTAAAAGATATAATTTTTTTAAAATATGTTACCCCACATTTACTTAATTTAATGAAATTTCGCCCAAAATCTTTTTGGTTCCTGAATTTTTTTTTAATTAAAAGTAGAAGTCTTCGAAGATGGTAAATAACCTACATTTTTTTTCAAATTTGAGCTATCTAACTGAAAATCTGCTCTGAATTGAAAAATAATGACTCCAATAAAACTATGATATTACTTAATTAGAAAAGCTTTTAATTGCTTTTGTAAATAAGTAATATTAAGGACATTATTGTCTGAAGAAATAATTTTTTTCTGATGAATAATTAATCTTTACAAGAATTTTTTCGTTTTTTAAGAAATTTTAATTATAATAATTTATAATAGTTTAAAATCGTGTAAAGCTCTGTATTAGGGAAAAAAATTACGAGTCCAAAATTGCTAAGTTTAATAAATTTAGCTGCTCTACTTTTTTAAAAAATAATTTTTTATGTTGTATTTTTTTACTTAATACATTCCTTATTTCCATGTATGATATACAGAAATTGCCATTATTATAACAAGGTCACGTGATCTAAGGGTTTTGTCCCTTTACGTGGCCTTTTCATAACATTTCGTTTCTTACAGGTTGTATTTTTCGTTCAGCTTTAAAAGTGTAAACTTTAAATTTTAAAGTAATTTTTCTTTTCATTTACTATTTCACTAAATAATTTTATTTTATGTATTGTATTTCCATTAGTGTGTGTCATACTCAAATAGAATAATTTTTAAAAAAAAATTCAGACGTAAAATTTGTCATTTTTCAGTAGTAGCTGTCATCGGTTCGTCATTCAACAATCCATCAATAGTTCGATCAGATGAACAGGACCGCTCGTTAATAATTGGTTGTATATTATTTTTTATGCTATAAGTAAGAAAGATTTCTTTCAAATCAGATTACTTTAACTTTAATTTTTTTAATTTTACTAAAATAACGTGTCAGAATTTTTTTTAAATATTTTCAAAATCGATAAATTTGTGTTTGTTTACAAATTTCTTAAAATTAAGAAAATGGCCGATTTTAAGAAAATTTAAAAATTTGAATTTGACAATCAAATGTATATAGTTTCTATCTGAAATACACCAGAATTGTTTAATTAATGGAAATCATAAATTTAATTTCTCTTTTTTTAAAGCTAAAATAAAATCTTCAAGAATGATTTTTCGTTGTAAAAAATTCATTTTAAACTTAAATATATAAAATTTATGCCGAAATAGTGGAGATACCTAATTTAATTTTTGTCGTAATTTTGTGTTTATTTTGTTAAAACACAAAATGTTCAATTAATATTTTGTTAAACACAATATTTTCATTAATATTTCAAGAATATATACTTCAACGTAAATATAACTCAAAGTAAAAGGATTTTAATTTAAATCTATGTGACTATAAATCTTAATTTATTTAAATCCTTACTTTTAAAAACAATGAAACAATATAATGACAGCGATTATATTCTTTAAAAACGATATTTGTTGTATATGTATATACATATTAATTTGCTCATTATCGCAAATTATATTCTAAATTAATGATATTTTAATTGTAAAGACATTATATTAAGTTATTATACCATTCAAAAATGACCAATGAGTTATTGTTATCATTGCCATTGTAGTTGGCACCATTGCTGTTTCAAGGAATTTTTTAATTTGTTTTTCTTAATGGCGTCTCTGTTTGAATTAGAAAAGCGTCTCCTCCTCGTAGCAGCCATTGAAGCAAATGGCTGAAACTTACAAAACGGATACTGCTGATAGGAAGAAAAAATGAAACAGAATACAATAATGATAATAATGACAATAACAATTGTAGAAATAGTAATGATGGTAATAATGCTATATTTATATGTATATGTATGTGCACTTATATATATAAAGATATGTTTGGTGGTACAAAATTTTATCACTGCCATGAAAAGACAAAAATTAGTTTTATTATTACCACTTATGATAATAAAAAGTAAAAATGAAAAACGGGCTAGCTAACTGGTTTCGTACCTCGCTCAACAGAACGAAATCGAGGTGAATAGCGTAAATTATATAGTAAAAAAATGAACAATGGACAAAGTTTATTGGTGGGGAAAAAAGGAAAAAATTAGATGGTAATTAGTTGGAGGCGTAATATAAAGTCTTTCTCTTTATAAAGAGAAGGCTTTAAAGATAGAATATAGATGGCCTCCAACACTTTTAGGTGGTAATTTGAGTGGGACTTGCTAAGGAGGGTAAAAGCATCCACACTAAAACTAACAGCACAGTTATGTCTATTTATAAGGTGTTCTGCGATGAAAGACCCATACGTATTGGTCAGAATGTCCGAGGGTGTGTACTTCCGGTTTCGGATTTTCGCTGGAACGTGTTGTTTTATTCTAGCATCTAGCCTTTACGTCGTTCTCCCTATGTAGTGTGAACCGCAACTACATTTAAAGGAATAAATTAATGAACTATTATGGTGTGTTGGGAGAACATCCTTACGTATAGACGGAAGAACGGGCCTGGCAGAGAAAGCAACACGGGTATTAGCGGCAAAGTAACAATGTCGATCTGCGGTAGAAACCTGCTTAGCAAACCTATCGCTGATACTACCTAGCCAAGGAAGGCGGAGATACACAGGACATCTCTCTACTATAGCGGGTTTCACTTTGTTAAATTGAGTAACTTTGTTCTTAATAATTGCTTGAACAATGCCTAATGGGTAGACATTGTTGCAGAGAGTAGAAGTAATAAACCCGAGTTCATCATCCAACTTGAAGTCCGAACCGATCATAAGAGCCCTATGGGTATGGCTCTTAATTAAATTAATTTTGTTTTTCCTGGGACAAAAAGAATCCCAACGGATATACAAACAGAAGTAATAAAACCTGACGTAGATCTGCTGACGAGTACATCAAGAAAGGGGGGAGATGAATCAACCTCCTTTTCCTGTTTAAATTTCATATATATATATATATATATATATATATATATATATGTATATATATATATCAGTGTTTTCTGAGCATGAGACCCGGAATTTCACAACGGTTGATTTGTCAGGAAGTATCTGATGTTATCAGTCTGGAGGGGCGATCCCAGCGTGCTGCACCTTTGTAAAGTGCCAAAAAAACCATACCACTAGTTGACCCCAGCCTTATGAGTGAAATTGCGTAGACGGAGCTCTTGGGGTCGTTTGATAGCTGTTTTAGCACGAAGCCACACGTCATCCTGACCGAATGTTTGAGTGTGCTGGCTCTGAGTGCTTTTTCAGATTGTCGACCCTGCTAGATAACACGCTCTCTCCCAGAAACTGTAACTAAGGTCTGCAATATACATCACAGGTTGGCTCTGTGGGTGCTGAACAAACACAAATATGCCTCAGCGAGCGTCTGCAACAGAGATTGGCTAGCCGCCCTAATAGACAAGTATCCTCGAATTCGAGTAGCCAGCTATTATTATTATTATTATTATTAATGTGTGTGTATGTACCTTGATTAGTATAAAGCCGCAAATTAAATTTTAGATTAATAATATTTTAATTTTAGGTTACTAAGTTGTATTATTTGTTGATATACCCAATATATAATCGGTACCTACTAGTTTTTTTTTTTACCTGATTTGAGCAGAGCATTTGACAGTTATTAGAGTCTTATTACTAATTAGACTACCCTGACCCGTTGGGTTAGTGAAGGTTCAGATTATAAAATTCTGAAGTTGATTTCAACATTAAAAAAATCTGTTTGAAGAAACTTGAAATAAAAATACTTACTGTATAAACAACTCGTCTTTAATCAGATTAACTAAAAAGAATTTTTTTTAATATGACAAAAATATTTTTAAAACATTTACTTTTTTTTAATATTTAAAATATTGTAAAATATTGTTTGTTTGAAGAAAGCTAAAATCACACAATCACATAGAGGTGGAAAAAGAGGGGTGCAAAGAGATAGGTGGAAAGAGGGAGGGGGAAAGAGAGATGTGGAAAGTAAGAGAGAGGTGGAAAGAGAGAGGTGGAAAGTAAGAGAGAGGTGGAAAGTAAGAGAGAGGTGAAAAAAGAGAGGTGGAAAATAAGAGAGAGGTGGAGAGTAAGAGAGAGGTGGAAAGAGAGAGGTGGAAAGAGAGAGGTGGAAAGTAAGAGAGAGGTGGAAAGAGGGAGGTGGAAAGAGAGATGTGGAAAGTAAGAGAGAGGTGAAAAAAGAGAGGTGGAAAGTAAGAGAGAGGTGGAAAGTAAGAGAGAGGTGGAAAGAGAGAGGTGGAAAATAAGAGAGAGGTGGAGAGTAAGGGAGAGGTGGAAAGAGAGAGGTGGAAAGTAAGAGAGGTGGAAAGAGAGAGGTGGAAAATAAGAGAGAGGTGGAGAGTAAGAGAGAGGTGGAAAGAGAGAGGTGGAAAGTAAGAGAGAGGTGGAAAGTAAGAGAGAGGTGGAAAGTAAGAGAGAGGTGGAAAGTAAGAGAGAGGTGAAAAAAGAGAGGTGGAAAGTAAGAGAGAGGTGGAAAGAGAGGTGGAAAGTAAGAGAGAGGTGAAAAAAGAGAACTGGAAAGTAAGAGAGAGATGAAAAAAGAGAGGTGGAAAGTAAGAGAGAGGTGAAAAAAGAGAGGTGGAAAGTAAGAGAGAGGTGAAAAAAGAGAGGTGGAAAATTAAAAGAGAGGTGGAAAAAGAGAGGTGGAAAAAGAGAGGTGGAAAGTAAGGGAGAGGTGGAAAGAGAGAAGTGGAAAAAGAGAGGTGGAAAGTAAGAGAGAGGTGGAAAGTAAGAGAGAGGTGGAAAGAGAGAGGTGGAAAATAAGAGAGTGGTGGAGAGTAAGAGAGAGGTGGAAAGAGAGGTGTCTTTTGAAGAGAGTGGAAAAAGAGAGGTGGAAAATAAGAGAGAGGTGGAAAGTAAGAGAGAGGTGGAAAGAGAGAGGTGGAAAGAGAGAATTAAAAAATAAGAGAGAGGTGGAAACATAAGGAGAGGTAAAAAAGAGAGGTGGAAAGTAAGAGACTTAGGTGGAAATAGAGGTGGAAAGACAGAAGAGAGAGGTGAGAGAAAAAGAGAAGTGGAAAGTAAGAGAGAGGTGAAAAAGAGAGGTGGAAAATTAAAAGAGAGGTGGAAAAGAGAGGTGGATTTTAAGGAGAGGTGGAAAGTAAGAGAGAAGTGGAAAAGGGGAGATGGAAAGTAAGAGAGTGGTCTAAAATAAGAGAGAGGTGGAAAGAGAGAGGTGGAAAATAAGAGAGAGGTGGAGAGTAAGGGAGAGGTGGAAAGAGAGAGGTGGAAAGTAAGAGAGAGGTGAAAAAAGAGAGGTGGAAAATTAAAAGAGAGGTGGAAAAAGAGAGGTGGAAAGTAAGGGAGAGGTGGAAAGTAAGAGAGAAGTGGAAAAAGAGAGGTGGAAAGTAAGAGAGAGGTGGAAAGAGAGAGGTGGAAAGTAAGAGAGAGGTAGAAAGAGAAAGAGGTAAAAGGGGGGAAGTGGAAAGAAACTGAAATCATATGCGCCAGACGGAATACATTCAGTTATGGAGAAAAATATCCGAAAAAGAATATTGTCGGAAAGTGAATTTGATACTAGAAAGCGAATTTAATGGGGCCAGTAAAATGAAGGCTATCAACACCTTATCTATACACGTAGTAACATACAGCTTCAACATTATTAAATGGAAGCTGGATGACATTATAAAATTCGACGCCAAGACCAGAAGAATGCTTACCCAAATGAGGAAGCACCACCCGAATCAGATGTTGATAGGCTGTACGTACCAAGAGTTTTTGGAGGCCCAAGTCTGATCCAACTTGAAGTAACTCTAAAACCTACAACAATGGAATTGGAAGCATACCTCACAAAACAAAAACAATGACCCTCTCCTACAAATAGTAAAACACCAAATCAACAAAGAAGCTGCACTCTTCAAGAAACAGTTTAATGTACCTGAAACCCTACCAACATAAAACGAAGCCAGTACCATCTGCGCCAAACGAATAAAACAGAAAGCAAAACAACTTGGCTAAATGGAATTACAAAAACAACTGGCAGGAAAAAGTATTACATAGCAAATACCTAAAAAGAACGAAAGAAGCCGATCTGGACTGACAGAAAACACATCAGTGGCTGAAGAGCACCGGGTGGAAAATTGAAACATAAGGCCTAATTATTGCAACTCTGGACCAAAGAGTGGGCCAATATCTGAAACTTTTACGGAAAGGAAGCTGCAAGAAATTGGTATGAACACCACACAGACCCGATTAGCGAGATTGCACTTGTAATAATTTGGGACTTTGTCATTCACACAGAGAAAAGAATCAAAACTAATCGCCCAGAAATCGTGAGCAGAGACCGCAAAGACAAAATTTGCAGACTGCAAACTATAATTGAAGATCTTTAAAAAAAGAACTATCAAAATACATGAACCTTGAAATCGAAATCTCAAAAATGTGGCACATGAGAACATCAACACTTCCTGTTGTAGTTGGAGCCCTCGGACTGATTGAAAAAATTCCAATAGACTCAGTGAAGGGATACCTGGTAGCCCATGCCTTAAATAAATACAGAAAATTGTTTTCACAAGTACAGTACACACCTTACTGTGTCACCATTTACGAGGCAGAGAAAGAAAGAGAAAGAAAGGAAGGCAGAAAGAAAGGCGAGACGAATCGTAGGTGATAAAACAACCACACACATGGCCTAAGAGACAATGAAAATATTGATAAGTAACAAGTGAAAAAGTGTGTCATTACAATGACAGGGAATTTCTGAGTAAAAAAAGAAAAGGAAAAGAAAGAAGGAACCAGATGTGTTTTGATAACGGCTATGTTATCTAGGTGCGTACACGAATGGCTGGACCACTGCCCAGGAAAAATTCAAGTGAAAATGCTATTTCGATAAGTGACGAGAAACAGGCCACTAAAAAGGACTTTGGACAGATATGAAAAATTAAATGCCACACAAGCAGTGCAGCTGACTGAATTCTTTTCGACGAAACAGCTTTGCCCTGCGATAATAAAATTATGTTATCAGACATATGTACCGAAGGAAAATGAATGGGAACCATAAGTGTTTTTTATTTCTTCCTTGGAGGCGACAGACTGACTGAAAATTTTGGGGATATTTCTTTTCTGAACCTATGTTACGAAAACCAACCATCTTGATAAATTAGCGATAAACTACCTGACAAACACCACGTGTTGAACAAAGAGTTGTCATATTGTCCGTTCGTGGCTAGAGAAATGATAACGGCGATTGAAAAGGAAGAAAAAGGAAAGAGAAGAGATAATTAATTTTTTTGTTAAGCAAGGTATTTTTTTTCCCGAAACAAAGCCGCGGATTGTTCACGCCCGACTAAGACATCATTGGTCAGGTGGTGATCACGTGACGCACAAAGGAGGAGGAAAGATACCCGACCAAGACCTCATTGGCCGAGAGTGATCACGTGACGCACGAAGAAGGCTGTCAACGCCCCATCCAGAGTATAAGTATGAGAATCTTCTACGAAGAAGTGGGGAGGGTAGTTCACGCCCCTCAGAGGTATGGTGAGAAAGTGGGAGTGAGGAGGGGTTACCAAAAATGGAAAAGAGTGGAAAATCCCTAACCAGAAATAAAAGAGGTGGATATGTATTTAGAATTATCGAGGAACCCCCCGACGCCAACAGACCCAACCTGGTTTTTGTCGGCGTCAATAAAAGCGAAGCCCCAACAGGCAGAAATCAGTTCGGGCTCTGGCGGCAGAGATGAGTGTCGAGAGTTCGGACTCCAGTTTCCAGAGTTGAAGCCGCCTCGAGATAGCTGACCAAGATTCACGCAAAATTCCGGACTCCTCTTCAACCCAAAAACAATTATTTTGAAGAGCGACTTAGAACCAGACTACCGAAATAAGTTTTTTTCGACTTTCGTCCGAAGACACACCGAAAAACCAATTTCTTAGAGAGCAAACAACTTGAAGCGTTAAAACTTGCCTAACGGAAATCGACGTGTCACAATCCCCAGAACGGGTCGGGAGATAGATGCAGTCCTATGTATCGAACAACTAGACATAAAGTTTGTTACCTTTTTCTTTGATACTTTGAACTTTTTGAGTTTTCATTTTCTTTTCTTTTATGCATATTTGTGTGTTATCACCCCCGTTGAACTCAGTTTGCATTACGGCCCCAACCACTGTTCGATCTCGTCTGCCTAAGATCAATTCACAACGTGGGTAGGCAGACTGGAGATCAATGCAGTTACCTTGGTAACCAGGCGTTGGAAGCGAGTTCCCACCCGAATCACCAAAAGGTTAGAACGTCACATTTGGGTGCCGCGACCGATACCAAGCCAGTTGGTCGTCACAGGACGAGACAACACGACGGACGCGACAGGCGGACGTCACGTTTGGAGCAGCGACACCCGAACGGAGCAGCGAGGAGCGAACAGCTGGCGCCGCGGCGAAGACGTCACAATTGGTGCTGTTTAGGGACGTCACAACTGGCGCCGTGGTAGATCAGGATAGAACGTCACAGTTGGCGCTGCGACCGGGGGACGACGTCACATTACGAAAAGGCTTTATCTATGTAAAATATGTGAATTCTTTTTTCCATTTTTTTTTTTTTTCCAAACTGCTCCTTGGAAAATGTCATGATGTTATTTCTTACCTTAGGTCTCTGGTCGGGATCCGGAAAGAATTGGGTATGCAACAGATAATAATAATAATAATAATAATAATAACAATAATAATAATAATAAAACGGTGCCTCCTTATTGACATGGCAGTCCCTGCTGACTGCAATGTATCTTTGAAGATATTCAAAAAGTTGTCAAAATACAAGGACCTTGAAATAGAAATCTCGAAAATGTGGCATATGGGAACATCAACAATCCCTGTTGTAGTTGGAGCCCTAGGACTGGTTGGAAAAGATTGCAGTAGACTAATTGAAGGGATTCCTGGAAGTCCATGCCTCAAGGAGATACAAAAAATTGTTCTGACAAGTACGGCCCACACCTTACGAAAGGCTTTATCTCTGTAATTTAATTTTTTTTTTTTTTTTTTTGGAAAGTGTCATGACGCCATTTCTAACCTTAGGTCCCTGGGCGGGACCCGGAAAGAAATGTGTAAACGCCAGAAATCAAAGATAATAATAATAATAATAATAATAATAATAATAATAATAATAGAAAATAACACCTTGAGTTAACCAGTTATTACTTCTCAATGACCCGAACTCGAGTGAGGAAAGTAATATTTTTGTCTACAACCGACTAAACAGGAAACATGTAAAAGGAAAGCCCACACCTGTCAATAACGTAAATTATATTACATAATATTATTGATCTGCTGAGTTTGTGATAAATATTATTTTATAGCTATGTTTATATCATCTTTCATGTTACCCTTTTATCGATTGTGCACAAAAATTATGATGCCTTATATTAAATCTAATTCTCGATTCTCAATTTCTCTTTGTTTATTCCCTGGAAGGGATCTCTCATTCTACGTATGTTCTTCCGCATTTTGGGGTCACACTTAATAATAATAACAACAACAACAACAACGATGTTTGGCTAATCGCTCAGACATCGTTATTAGAGACCGCAAACAAAAATATTGCCTCCTTATTGATATGGCCGTCCCTGAAAACTGCAATGTATCTTTGAAGATCTTTAAAAAAAAAACTATCAAAATACCTTGAGATCGAAATATTGAAAATGCGGTACGTGAAAACATCAACAATCCCTGCTGTAGTTGGAGCCCTCGGAACGGTGGGAAAAGATTCCAATAGACTCTTTGAAGGCATTCCTGGTAGCCCATGCCTTAAAGAATTACAAAAATTGTCCTCAAAAATACAGCCTCCACCTTACGAAGGGCGTTATCTATGTAAAATATGTGTGATTTTTGTTTTTTTAATTGCTCAGTGAAAAATGTCATGACGCCATTTCTGAAATGAGTACACACCAGAAATCATAGGAAATAAAATAATAATAATAATAATAATAGTAGTAGTAGTAGTAGTAGTAGTGATTGTTTTTAATAGTTCCTGTAAGAAATAATAAAATCCTGTAATAAAAATAAAAATTCCTCGAGTTTTCACTGACTGGAATGAAAGCTGATTGACTTACGGCTAGTGAGGCAACTAGATATTTATTGATGTTTTTTTCACTTTGTTAGTTTATCAACGAAGCTAACGGTCATTTTCTTTTTATTAACGACTTTTTGAAATAATCTATCATTTCTTTTTTAGCTGTAAACACATTTCAACCCCTCGATTAAAAGAAAAAGAAAAAAAAAAGAAATCGTCGCTCAAATGCGGGGGAAAAGATACACGTATAAAAAGAAAGAATCATTTTTAAAAAAATAAATAAGACATAAGAAAATTCAAATGTATTGCTTGAACTTTTTACATGTATTCTATCAATTGTCATTTGTTTCGTTTTTATTTTTCTCTTTTTTCTTTGATTAGTTGTCAAGTTTGCTTTAAGCAGCACTGAAAACAAGCCAAAAATGTCGTTTTTTTTACTTTCAATGTAT